CTTTGCCGTGAACCTGGATTTGCATGAAGTCAGGGTGGGGGAGGGAGCGAGAGAGAAGGTGGGCTGCACAACACCAGCGGTTTTAAACAAGAGGTTCAAGTACTGCTGGGATGTGGGGAAACTGAGTGAGGAAAGTGGCAATTTTAAACAATGGCAGAGGTTTCAGCAGAATGAGCAGGGGGGTGACACTTGGAGGGGGTTTAAAACAATGTATGAGCATTTAGAAAAGAACGTAGGAAAGTGCATGTCAGTTTCCTACCTGAAAAAAAAATAATCATTTTCAACGCTTTTTAAAATGGGGTACTCAAGGGCACGCAATACCAGCCCCTCTTTTTATTTTGGTTTAAAAATGTGACACTTACTGTAACAACTTCATGGTGAGAACCAGCACCTATTTTTCTATGGGGGGAAAGCACTGGTCCTTTTCAACCAGGATGGCATAGACGCATAGCCTAATTTAGGTATCGGTGTTTAGGGTGGTTATCTTATTCCTCAGTGTGCAAAAAAATCACTATAACAGGTGACTCTGTTCCAAAAGACACAGTACTCCTAGCTAAGAACTCTTGATGAATGTAATATCCTACAAGCCCAGTTTTTCTCATCACTTTGCCACTGTAATGAGGATTCACATCCATAAGATGCTGAGACCACAAAGAGAGATGAACAAGAAGCGGAAACATTGCTCGTCTCCTGTACGGTGGTGCTGTCACTGCCATGTGAAGGCTATTTTATGTTGTTATAATACAGTGGACCCTCCGGATATGAATCTAATTTGTTCTGGGGGTCTTTCCGCAACCCAAAAAGTCCATAGGCAGAGGCACTGCTTCTTCGCACGTGCACATCGTGATAGAGAATTCCTGGGCATGTGCACATGGCGAAACCCAGAAGTATACACTTCTGGGTTTGCCGCGTTCACAAACCAAAGTTTACATATCCAGAGGGATATGTAAGCAAAGGAAGAAGAAGGAGAAGGAGAAGAAGAAGAGGAGAAGGAGGAGTAGTTTGGATTTGATACCCTGCTTTATCACTACCCTAAGGAGTCTCAAAGCGGCTAACAATCTCCTTTCCCTTCCTCCCCCACAAAAAACACCCTGTGAGGTGAGTGAGGCTGAGGGACTTCAAAAAAGTGTGACTGGCCCAAGGTCACCCAGCAGCTGCATGTGGAGGAGCGGGGAAGCGAACCCAGTTCACCAGATTACGAGACTACCACTCTTAACCACTACATCACACTGGTACGACTATATTATTTATTTATACATACATACATACATACATACATACCCTGCCTTTTCCCCTGACAGGGACTCGAGATGGCTTACAGAGAAAAAGAAGAACAGCTAAAAACAAATAAGAAAAACAACAATTTAAAACAAACAAACAAACAAACACTGATAGAATTAAAATTACATATATACATATATTTAATCTATTAAAACCATACAAATGATCACAATAAAAACAGCATGGCACCCGCCCTTTCGTTAGAAGCAGTCAGTTCTCCAGAGCCTGTTGGAACAAGAAAGTCTTCACCTGCCAGCGGGAGGACAACAAGGAGGGAGCCAGTCTGGCTTCTCTGGGGAGGGAGTTCCAAAGTCTGGGAGCAGCCACCAAGAAGGTCCTTGAGGGTTTTTTTTAGTATGGAGAACAAGATGTCTAAAGGAGAGTGTGTAGCTGATTACGAATGGGGACACATGAAGATACTCAAAGGAGTACAGATTCCTTCTGACAAATCCAGTGAAGCTGTGTGCTGCACAACTCGGAACAGATTTTATTGTCTTCAAAAGTGCCACAGCTGCCTTCTTCAGGTTGTATTGCTGGAGATCTGTGGCGAGAAGGGATGAAACAGCAGTCAGTGTATGTATACAGTGGACGCTCGGGTTGCGAACATGGTCACAACCCGCAGTTTTCGCAACACGGGTCTGTGTGCCTGCACACGCACGGATTGCAATTTGGCACCTCTGTGCATGCGCAAAGCTCGATTTAGCGCTTCTGTGCATGCGCAACCACCAAAACCCGGAAGTAACCCGTTCCAGTACTTCTGGGTTTTGGCGGTCTGCAACCCAAAAAAACGCAACCTGAAGCGTCTGTAAACTGAGGTATGACTGTACAGTGGCACCTCGGGTTAAGTACTTAATTTGTTCTGGAGGTCCGTACTTAACCTGAAACTGTTCTTAACTTGAAGCACCACTTTAGCTAATGGGGCCTCCCGCTCAGGGACGCGGACTTATAAAAAATATTGGGGGGGCCCGGGAAAGCTCATGAATAATAAATAAGCTCATGAATATGCAAATAGGGCAAGCCACGCCCGCCCAGCCAGCCGATTGGCTGGCTGGGAGGTGTGGCCAGTCGGGATTCCCCTGTTCTCGCGGGGGCTGAAACCGCCAGGAGGAAGGAAATTCCCCCCGGCAGTGCCTTGGCAGTGGCGGTGGTGCTGCGAAGCAGCGAGGCAGGAGCCCCCGCCCCCGGCGCCCGAGATTATTGGGGGGGCTGAGCCCCCCAAAAATTTTTTTTGAGGGGGCTCGAGCCCCCTCAAGCCCCATGGAGTCGGCGCCTATGCTCCCGCTGCCGCCATGCCACCGGAGCACGATTTCTGTTCTCATCCTGAAGCGAAGTTCTTAACCCAAGGTACTAATTCTGGGTTAGCGGAGTCTGTAACCTGAAGCGTATGTAACCTGAGGTACCACTGTACATTGAAATTCCTCAGTATGCCCTGAAGGTCTTGCTGAAGCTAAGCAGGTCAAGGTCTGGTCAATACCTGGAACCCCATGCGATGGAGGAATGGCATCTTACATGATGGAAGAAAGATGGAACAGGAATATAAGAAAATGAAAAGGAATGAAGTGTTGAACAAAAATAACCCCACTGAATTCAACAGGGCTGATGTATCAGGAGGCAATTTTGGACTGGGCTCTTAGTCTTTCAGGTGCTATAAGACCCTTTGCTATATGCTTTATGTAGTAAAGATGAGCAGAGCTGCAATACCTTTAAGAAGTGTACAGTCATACCTTGTGTTACATCTGCTTCATGTTACGTTCTTTTAGGTTATGTCCCATGGTGACCCGGAAGTACCGGAAAGGGTTACTTCCAGGTTGCGCATGCGCAGAAGTGGCAAATCTCAACCCGCACATGCACAGACACGCTGCTGCAGGTTGCGCTCTTTTCATGTTGTGAACGGGCCTCCGGAACAGATCCCATTCACAACCAAAGGTACCACTATATAGACATGGTAACGTCTGCAGTTTTCCTTATCGTAGCTTTTCTTGCAAGTTCATCATGCAAAACTATTGATTTGCACAATTTCCCCTACACGGGTGTTTCAGTACTCACAATTTCTCCTGTAACAAAGAGCCGTTGATCCAGATCCATTTCTTCTTTGGCGATGACACGATAAGTCCAATCCATACTAATTTCCCATTTTTCTGGATGAATTTCTATAAAATATGATTTAATTACATAAACACAGTGCTTTTTTCTTAAAAAATGTTTAGGGATACTCTCATTTTCCTACTTGTATTGAAACACTGCCCCTCAATGAGGCCAAACTTACATTCACAAAATGTTTAGGGGTAGAAAAAAGCACTGCATAAACAGGATGTGGACCCCAGGCAAAGACCTTACTGTGTGGTGGACGGGGAGCTGGGGAATAGGTCTTAGCACATAGCTTTGTGGGTGAGTGGTTCTCAGATCCAGGGAATAGACCAGTGGTATGTAGCTTGGAGGTACTACATCTTGATCCACTGTTGTCACTTGAGGTGCAGGTGGCCTCTGTGGCAAGGAGCGCCTTTTAATCAGCTTTGGCTGGTAAGTCAGCTGTGGCTAATGGGTCAGATTCAACCAAATAGCTTTGGGATGTATCCTCACTGAAGCAGTCAAATGCAACGTTTCCTGTTGCCTAGAGTGGACACACCGGGGAACGTTGCTCCAGACAGGGAGGACTTCCTGTCATACCTGCTCTGGAGCCTCCTCCCCCTGTGTGTGACCAGGTAGATGGGCGTGACCCTAGCAGACCATACAAAAGGTCTAGCCACACAGCCATCTCCCCCTTTTCCATTGTCTCCTTTGGGACTCCTCTTCTGGCTCTTACATGGCTCATCCTTACAGAGGATGGAAGCCACAAGGTAGAAAGTCTGAGGCCTAGCTCAGACTTCTTTGCGCACTAAATGTAACTGTAACAACAAGATAAAGCCTGCCTTCAGATTTACTGCTATGAACTGAATCTTAGTGAACTTTACTCTTCTTTTTAAAGAAGACTGTTCTGTTATTATTATTTTAGGAGGGGAAACTTACCAGGAACATTCCAGACTGGACAAGCCAGACTGGATCACTTAATTATTCTAACGAATCCATCAACTTGCTTCCATGTGCTCTGCTGCTTGCTCACTAGCATGAGTGAGGAGGGATAATATTTAATCACTGCCACCGCCCAATTTCTGTTCTCATCCTGAAGCAAAGTTCTTAACCCGAGGTAATATTTCTGGGTTCGTGGAGTCTGTAACCTGAAGCGTATGTAACCCAAGGTACCACTGTAGTAGGTGTCAGTGCAATGACTCCCGCTTGTGCAATGGGAATTCCCCCCTCCCCTCCTCCTGGGCCCCCCATTCCTCCCCCCTGGACTGCAAGAAGATCAAACCTCTCCATTCTTAAGGAAATCAGCCCTGAGTGCTCACTGGAAGGACAGATCCTGAAGCTGAGGCTCCAATACTTTGGCCACCTCATGAGAAGAGAAGACTCCCTGGAAAAGACCCTGATGTTGGGAAAGATGGAGGGCACAAGGAGCAGGGGATGACAGAGGACGAGATGGTTGGACAGTGTTCTCGAAGCTACCAGCATGAGTTTGACCAAACTGTGGGAGGCAGTGGAAGACAGGAGTGCCTGGCGCGCTCTGGTCCATGGGGTTACAAAGAGTCGGACACGACTAAATGACTAAACAACAACAACAACAATAATAATATATTGAAGGGACAAGATTCTCACCTGGAAGAACCCTTGTCTAGTGCTCCATGCATCTGATTCTCACAGTGCAGGCCAATGGGCAGCCAGTAAGCAGCCACTCTCCCCACTTCTGATTCTCAACTAATGACATTCAGAGGCATACTGCCTCTGGCAGCAGAACGAGACTAAACCCATCATGGGCAGCAGCCATTGGTAGCTGTCTCCTCCATGAATTTGTCTAATACTCTTTTAAAGCCATCCCAGTTGGCAGTCTTCCCTGCACACAGCTTCCCTATGCACTGCTTGAAGAAGTATTTCTGTTTTTCTTCCCTGAATTTCTAAACATTCGTCTTCATTGAGTTGCTCCGATTTCTAGCCTTATGAGTGATGGGGCCTTTCTCTGGGCACTGTTTTCACATAGTTCATTAACTTAGTCACCTCTCTCATGTTTTCCCCTTAACTTTGTTTCCAAGACTAAAATAGCTCCAAACATCCTATTTTTTCCTCAGAACTTGGCTTCAGCCCCTTGATCATTTTTTGTTCCTGTCTCTGAACGTTTCCATCTCCACAATATCCTTTGTGAGATGGGGCAAGCAGAACTGGGCAGTATTCCAGGTGTGGCCACACCAAAGAGTTGAGTAAAGCTGTTATGATATGATATTTTCAATTCCTGTCCTAATGATCCCCCACAGCTGTTGCACAGTGGGTCCACATTTGCATGGAAATGCAAGCCCAGGGTCTCATTCCTGGTGAGTTACCACAAGACGCCATTCATGTATATGTGAAAAAGGGATATATATATTGTCCCCACATGCATTGCTTATACTCTTGCTCACATACAATTGCATTTGCCATTTTACTGCCTGTTTCATTCACCCAGTTTAGAATTCTCTTTCTTGAGTGCCCAGCAACCCCCTTTTCCTTCTCACTACCCTATGAGACAGACGGATGCCAGCAACATCCCCCAACAACAGCAGCAATCTTGAGTAAGCAAGGGTGGCTATCTCAACCACTGCTCACCCCCCAATTCTAGATCATGTATGAACAAGTTAAAAAGCACAGGCTCCAACACTAAGCATCAGAAAAGAACTTTCTGACAGTAAGAGCTGTTCATCAGTAGAACGGTGTCCCTTGGAAGGTGGTGGACCCTCCTTCCTTGGTTTTTAAGACAGAGGTAGGATGGCCGTCTGTCAGGGATGCTTTAGTTGAGATTCCTGCAATGCAGGGGGTTGGACTAGATGACCCTCAGGATCCCTTCCAATTCCACAATTCTATGATTCTGTTATTCTATACTGATCCTTGGGGGATTTGTCTTCCACCAGCTCATATCCAGCATGACTGGGTAATAATACTAATTTGTTGTTTAGTCGTGTCCGACTCTTCGTGACCCCCTGGACCAGAGCACGCCAGGCACTCCTGTCTTCCACTGCCTCCTGCAGTTTGGTCAAACTCATGCTGGTAGCTTCGAGAACACTGTCCAACCATCTCGTCCTCTGTCGTCCCCTTCTCCTTGTGCCCTCCATCTTTCCCAACATCAGGGTCTTTTCCAGGGAGTCTTCTCTTCTCATGAGGTGGCCAAAGTATTGGAGCCTCAGCTTCAGAATCTTTCTTTCAGTGAGCACTCAGGGCTGATTTCCTTCAGAGTGGATAGGTTTGATCTTCTTGCAGTCCATGGGACTCTCAAGAGTCTCCTCCAGCACCATAATTCAAAAGCATCAATTCTTCGGCGATCAGCCTTCTTTATGGTCCAGCTCTCACTTCCATACATCACTATTGGGAAAATAGTGCGGCGCAAAAATGTATAGGACAAGTTCAAATATCTGCTGGAAATGTAAAGAAAAAGAAGGTACCATTTATCGTATGTGGTGGACTTGTCGGTACCTACAATTCCTAATAAAAACACTTCTGGTTGTTGTTGTTTTAAAGGTTATTTTAAACATTTTCTTCATTTCATTATATGTCATCTCCCAGAAAGCTTTTATTACTTTATAAGACCACCAAAGAAGCAAAAAAGACTTTTTATGTATGCGACAACAGCAGCAAGGATTTTATTAGCCCAGAGATGGAAAGAAGAAAAAGTCCCTACCAGAGAGGAACCGCAGACCAAGCTGTTGGGCTATGCCAAAATGGCAAAGCAGACTGGAAAACTCAGGAACCAAGAGGACAAAAACTTTATAAAAGAATGGGGGAACTTTATAAGTTATTTAGGAGACCACTGTAAGCAGATGGAAACACTGGCAGGATTTTGATTCCACTTGTATTGTAACAATTACCATGGACAATATGGACAATATGGGTTTGGAAGTATATGCAGTTGTAAAGGTTCAAAATGGAACCCCATGGGAGGGGGTGGGGAGAAGTCTTTGCATATGGATATATATTTGGATTATTATAATTTTGTATTTGTAAAATAATAAAAAATAAAAATAAAATAAAAAAGTAATAGTGTGGCATATATACACCATTCCACAGAAGGAAAGTCATTGCGGTGGCAAACTCCTTTCTTGACCAACACCTACATTTCAAGAGAGCCCCTGCATAGGCAGCTGTAGGATGTGGCGCTGTGGTCTGAACCACTGAGCCTCTTGGGCTTGCCAGTCAGAAGGTTGGTGGTTTGAATCCCCACGACAGAGTGAGCTCCCATAGCTCTGTCCCAGCAATTTGAAAGCACGCCTGTGCAAGTACATAAGTAGGTTCCATTGTGGCTTGATGGAAAACGGCGTTTCTGCACGCTCTGATTTCCATCACAGTGTCCCGTTGCACCAGAAGAGGTTTAGTCCTGCTGGCCACATGACCCAGAAAGCTGTCTGTGGAAAAACACCGCTCCCTCGTTCTGAAGCAAATTGAGTGCCACAGCCCCATAGTCGCCTTTGACTGGACTTAACTGTCATGGAGTCCTTTACCTTTAACTTTTCCTCTTCCCACTCATAGAATCATAGAGTTGTAGAGCTGGAAGGTACCCCAAGGATCATCTAGTCCAACCCCCTTCAATGCAGGAATATGCAGCTGTCGCATACGGGGATTGAACCTGGAACCCTGGCATTATGAGCACCACGCTCTAACCAACTGAGCTATCCAGCCTCATTCAAGGAAGCCTCAGTCACATCCCTATATGGTTTAGCTATAGCCCATAACTGGGGATGGCTTAAGCGTCTTTCCAAAATCCAAAGTCCATTCTAAAAGCTGAACAATACAAACTGAACAACTCACAAAAAGTTTTTCAAACAAGAACAACAACCCTGCCCCCCACCCCCTGCCCTAACCACCTAATAAGGCTGCGAATGTGTGACTGGTATTGTGGTTGAAGAGAAGAGCTGCTCCGGAAAGAGATGCTTGGCCATCAACTCAGGCTATAGCAGCAAACCTCCAGTGCTCCTTCGACAGCCCTGCTCTCTGAGAGGCTTCTCTGCAGCCTTTGCTTGCCAATGGAGGGCGAAGATGGTTATACTGCTTTGAACTTCCAATCTAGGAGGGCTGCATCAGGAACTGCCGCTGGGGCTCAGAAACAAGGTACTCAGCTCAGACCCCTTCGTATCTTTCAGTTTTTGTCTGATTCCACTGTAATATATCGGTTGACAGACGGACATGATTTTCATGATTTTCAATTATCTTGATCATAGAAAGTTCATTTGTACCGTTATAAGCAGTATTTTTGTTTGACTAATGAGACGGAATTACAGAAGGGTGCATGGCACCTAGGGATGGGGAAGAATTTCAGTTTTGTTTGCATTTTCATGAGAAACTACCCAAATTGCACTATTCGAAACAAAACAAAACTCTCTTTCAAAATTTGCACTTGTGTTTGAATTTTGCAATGCAGTTCTTCAGCCACAAAATATACACAAATATGCATATACTGGTGTCTATAAATAATATACGAAATTTAAATTGGTATATCATCATTTAAATAATATACAAAAATTCAGAGGAAATCGCTTGCAAAATGTGTATACATGAAAATTGCATATAAAACCGTGGGAGAAATCTGAAGTAAATGCAGATTAGTTTTCATTTTTTTAAAAAAAAAGGTTGCAAGCAATCCTCAAAGTTAAAGTTGACTTTTAAAATGATCAGTGCTACACAAGTGTGAAGGGTTTCTGAACAGGTAAAAGGAGAGGGAATTGTCATTTGAAGTTCACAGTGAATATTTTGGTCAGTGAATATTTACAAATAAATTGTAAACAGACATTAAGACATGGGCAGGATTATTGTAAATCCCTGCAGTTGTTGTTGTTGTTTTTAAAAAAAACATATATGAGATATATATGAGCATAAAAGAATAAGTGAAGATAATTTGGAGTATGCAAGAAATGATGAAAATAACTGTAAGGAACCGCAGAAAGAGGGGGAAGAGAGCCGAGGTTTGATATCTTAGAATTATTGTTGAACTATTGTAATGTATATAAAAGAAAATTATAAATAAGATTATTTTTTTAAAAGGATGCAGAATTGAGGACAATGCAAATACAATTAGATATGCTAGTTAGCTTGGAAAATAAGATGTGAAAATAATATGCTTTTATTCAAATTCAAAGCATGCATGTAGCATGAAGCGTGTGCATAGATTGCTCTTTGCTTGCTGCTTCTTCTGCAACATTTCACACTCCTTCCCCCAGCCTAGTGAAGAAAAAACACTTCTGTAGATGCTGCACCCAATGTCCTGGCCGAGGCACAGTTTAAAGGTGTGAGCATGTTGCCTGACCACCCGCTCCACCCACATCCTTTTCCTATGTACCTACTGAGCCACGGAGGCAACTCATGGTGAAAACTACAGCGCCTGCCTGTCCTTTTCTCTGCTAACACCTGTTCCCCACTGGGCCTGCCCAACAAAGGCTGGTGACTCTTTTGTTTCACTGCAACCCAGGACACATTTTCAAATGCAATGGCCAAAGGTTTTGCTGCAGAACTTCTTTCCACATCAGGTCCACTTCCTGGTTAAAGAGAATGCCTCATGTTTTAACATCTGACGCTCCATTTCTTTTTGTCAGGTTAATGAGCAATATTGTTAGGCAACTAAATTGTGTGTCGAGACCCCGAGACCACCCCCTCATTGATGAATAAGACACAAGGACACAGATATTAGGTTAAGGTTACTGGGCAAATTTAGGCCACTACTTTATTGGTTACAGAATGTGAGTGGTATTGGCTTAGGCATTGGAATTGACCCGGCTATATCTGACTCCTGCCCGTTATGCAGGGAGTCTGGTAAGGGTCAACCACCGGAAGGGGGAGCCCTGTCAATGCAAACCAACTTGAGCTCCCCCTGGATTCCCAACAGGGACATGGCATGGCCCTAGCCCAGCCCTGGACTTCAGACAAGATCCACACCCCCGGATTCCTTTAACAGAATATCCTTAAACTTCGAGTGGCAGGTGATGGCCACACCTCACCTCCCCCGTCATATGATCAACCAATGCCTAAGCGCCGAACCTTACAAAGTTGTGACGATTGCTACAAGGTAGGATGAATATTTTCTTAAGAATCTGAAGAATTTAAACATTCAAACTAATACAAAATATCAAACATAAAAGATGGCTTCCTTCCTCTCTTCTTCACTGTATTTCTCTTCCCTGCTTTTGACAAAGCATTCTGCTGACAGCTGACAGTCACATCAGCAGTGGAGGAAATCTGGATTAAAAACAGACACACAACAGACACCAGAAAGCTGCAATATATTTTCAATCATGCCAGATAAGAAGAGAAGCACAAAATCAATGACAGCGAGCTGAACATAGTCAAGGGGTTATGACTGGAAATCCAGAACAATGACGAGATTTTCAGATCATCAGAAGATTGGTATCAAAGGCTGCTCATGAGTTCTTGCATGTGGAGTGGGAGATCACCTCTTCCCCAACCCCAGGCGACCCCCAAGCAGAATAATGACTCAAGACAATGTGTTATGGGATTAAAATTGGCCACAACTTTATTAGGTTTCAGATGTAGGGAGACCTTGTCTTAGGTATTGGGCGTTTATCCTTCCCAGTCCCCAGCCAGGGATCTGGGAGACATCAGAGTTATCCAGAATGTGTGGGGATTGGGCTGGCTCTGGAGAACATATGTTCAAGCAGAGAGCCCGCCCCCTGTTTTGCCGCCATCGCAGGGGAGAGCAATGGCAACCTCTCGGCGTATGGCCTATGCCTCCCCTCAAGACCCCTTTAACGGGGAGCCCTGGGATCACAGCCGCAAGGGGGGGTCACCGCGTCACACACACCCCACTTAGGAAGATAGACTAAAGGATTCTGCCCAAGGCCTGAAACCACCAAAGTTGTGATGTTTTGCTAAGGGAAAGGCAAAACCTGCCAATGCAGGAAAATTCTTTTCTGGCCCTTCAACAGCGATCATGATGTAGCAGTGCCCACGTACCTGTGGAGAAGAGGTTAACCTACAAAAGAAGGCTTAATTGAGGGAGGGCAGGGTGGGAGAAGCTTTGGAGCCAACTGATGCTTTGCAGGTAAGATTCTGTTGTGTGGGCAGGGTGGTCCCTCCCCCTACCTGGCCAATCCCCTGGCAGCGCCTCCCCAGGCGATTGGTTGAGGTAGCGGAGACTTCCAGGTATCCAGCCTGGGGAGGGCAAAGCCAGCCTGTACTACTGGGAGCCGCACTGGGATCCGGGGGGCTGCGTGCGACCACGCAAAAGGCGCCCCCCACTTGATGTGGGGAGCGGTCATTACTAAACAAATACCATTTGCCTGTTGTCTCCTGAAGGGATTTTTTTGTGTCAAAAAACAAAACAAAAACAAATCACCCAGCATTATTTCCCTGCAATGAGTTGCAGGAGACTCTAGTCTAGGCACTGCTGACTCGCATCATTCAAGTTTTCCCTCTCCTCACAGATGCTTCCGGGCTTCCCTGTTGGTACCAGATCACCCTGTGGACAGGAGGCTTTGTGATCATCATCCTGGGGGTGGCTGTGACAGTCTTGGGTAAGTATTATTTATTATTTCATTTATGAATTGCTTTCCATGTGGCATCCTGAGGTGGTTTAAAGGTAAAGGTAAAGGTAAAGGGACCCCTGACCATTAGGTCCAGTTGTGGCCGATTATGGGGTTGCAGTGCTCATCTCACTTTACTGGCCGAGGGAGCCGGTGTACAGCTTCCGGGTCATGTGGCCAGCATGACTAAGCCGCTTCTGGCAAACCAGAGCAGTGCACGGAAACGCCGTTTACCTTTCCGCCTGAGCAGTACCTATTTATCTACTTGCACTTTGACGTGCTTTCGAACTGCTAGGTTGGCAGGAGCTGGGACCGAGCAACAGGAGCTCACCCCGTCGTGGGGATTCGAACCGCCAACCTTCTGATCGGCAAGTCCTAGGCTCTGTGGTTTAACCCACAGCGCCACCCGCATCCCTTCCACAGTTAATTCCACTTGAAGTGGTTTACCGTACAATAAAAGCACATACAGAATGATTGTCTAACATCTTCCATCAGCTCCAGCCCAGTCAGCCGGTTATGAACATTTGGTCTGGCCCAGTATGGCAGCTCTCAGAACAGCTGCAGAAGACAAGACTCCTGACTATCAACCCCAGAGTCTCCGAGATTCAGCAGAATCATCCAGCAATTTACCGAGCAGTGGGATAAAATCCCTCGAGGAATTTTAAATGGGGAAAATTAGAGCATATTATCACACGTTAAAAATAAGACTACCTGTTAATATATAATCTTCTAATGTCCCAGTCTGTATCTGTCTTGGATTTGAATTGATTCTATATATGTGGTATTCTTGTTTTTAAATTGTGTGTGCTTCATCCACAAATACTGAAAGTACAGTTGTACCTTGGAAGTCAAACAGAATCCGTTCCAGAAGTCTGTTTGACTTCAAAACGTTCAGAAACCAAAGCGCAGCTTTTGATTGGCTGCAGGAAGATTCTGCAGCCAATCAGAAGCTGCAGATGCCCCGTCAGACATTTGGGTTCCAAAGAACGTTTACTAACTAGAACACTCACTTCCGGGTTTGCAGTGTTTGGGAGCCAAAACATCCAAGTACCAAGGTATTCAGTATCCAAGGTACGATTGTGGTGCCATTTGGGATCTAAAGCAATCGATTGAAATGTAATTTGCTCCCTATCCTGAAATACTTTTAACCAAAAGTTTTTAATCTGTGGGCATTCCCAGAGATATGTATAAGTGTTCCATCATTCCCACTATTTCTCCAACACTGTGGAGAGTTATTTTTGTCTATTTTCTTTAGCAACCAAGCAGATAACATAAATACTTTTATATTCATAAAGATGCTGCCATCATTCCCCTTACTATGTGATTTTCTGAAGAAGGCCAAGATGGATTCATACTTCTGTGGGAGGAACTGTGGCAGGTCTCTTTTGCAGCTTGTTTTCCGTATCTAATTGTATCCATCTACTTTTTCCATTCCTTGGCCTCCATATTTTGATTATGTATGTTAACATGATGCTTATTTATTTAAATATATGTGTTTGTTTGCTTGCTTGTTTGTTTGTTTGTTTGGTGAGGAGTAGCTTTGCAGTTGAAAACTGAGAAAGGAGAAACCAGAGTACATGCTGGCAGATGCAATCTCTGTTTAGATGAGTTTCAGGCTTTCCTAAGACGCAGCCTCTGCAACCAATACCAGAGCAAACCCTCAGGTAAAAATACCTGTTTCCCCTCTCCAGGGAATACCAGGCCTATTTTTATTATTATTATTATTTTACAAATATAGGTCACTGTGGAATCCTAATGGGCACAAAATTCACTTTCACCCCGTAAGTTCCCCCGTCACAAATAAGTTTTGCAGTAAGGAAGCAACAGTCAGAATAATGTTACAAATGGATGTATTGAAACATGTGGTTTGGTCCAAATATATACAGTCGTACCTCGGCTCCCGAATGATCAAAACCCGGAAGTGAGTGTTCCAGTTTTTGAATGTTCTTTCAGAAGCTGAACGTCCGATGGGGCTTTCGCAGCCAATCAGAAGCCAGGCTTTGGAAGTTGAATGTTTCGGAAGTCAAACGGACTTCCAAACGGATTCTGTTTGACTTCCGAGGTACGACTGTACTTCAATTGGCTTTAGACTTTTAACTCATTTTCTGTGACTAGCTGCCCCTTTCCCTCTGCTACAAGCATTATTTTGCTACCCACCCACCCCATCTGATCAATCACCTTTTCAGTCAATAAATAAAGCAAAAAGATGAGTGAAATAACCCACCACTTTGGAGGGACTACTATAGTTTAGCTTATTGAGGTTGTGGCTACTGAAGTACTATTGGCATCAGTAAGCCTAAAGCCACTGGGTTTCTGCAGTTGCAGAGTACATAATGTTTTTCTACATTGGAAATGGTGAGCCAATCACAATCATTAAATTATGTGTCTATCTTCCCTTTCACAGTTAATTCCACTTGCAAAGTGTGCCCTGTACAGTGGCAGCTCCACAGGGACAAATGCTACTGGCAATCAGAAGATACTAAAACCTGGAATGAGAGCCAACATGACTGTTCAACAAGGGATTCTCATCTGCTGGTCATCCAAGACAAGGAGGAGATGGTCAGGAACAATGAATGATATATTTCATGCAATCCGTGAAGGAAGCCTAAGTCCAATTGCGTTTAATTCTAACTTAGTAACTCGACAATGGTATCATGCTTTGTGACTTGAGAAGCTTGTGGATTGCAGGGCCTTGTTTAGTGCTTCACCCCATTCCCACCCATGGCCAGTTCATCAGTGTCTAGATAGGGCTTTGGGGAGATTGACTAGTGAGAGCCAAAGCAGTAAGTTGCAAGCAAATTCATGTAACTGTAGACCAAGTCCTCTTTTTATTTAGAAAGTCTTTCCAGGAGGGTGGGGTTGATAGTAGAGTTTATATTAATCTTTGTTTTGATGCCATCAGTTTGAAAATCAGCAAATATCTTTTTCAAAAATACATTTTCTCTGACACAGGACTTCATAAAAAACATTACAAAAAATGCAAAATTCTGGATCGGACTCTCACTATCATTAGCAGAGAATAAATGGATGTGGATTACAGGCTCCCAGCTTGATCAGAGTCTGTGAGTTCTTCTCATTGTTTTTAACCTAAGCAAAACATCATGCAATTTTTATATTCCATTTATAGGTTGTACTTAATACCCACCAAACTAACAAACTAACAAATGTACAAAATGAAAAATAAGAACTGTTGGAAATGCACTGTAAAAGAGGGAGACTTTTTTGTCGCTCTTAACACATACATACTGTTAAGTTGTGGGTGAACATATCAGACGACACAGCGTTTCTTCAAACAGCTCTTGTTTATTCAGAGGCCAGAACAGAACTGAACTGAAGGGTTCAGTCAGCTTGCTTATATAGAGCTCCAGTACACATAATTGTAACAACTTTCTAAAACTATTCAATCACTGAACGTCACTTTCGATCCCTTATTTGCATAACTATCTACAGTATCCCCCTGCTGGCCCAGGGTGAGAACTTCAGTACATAACACCTACATTCAAAAAGAACTGGCCAGAAGTTCATTTTCGGTCCTAGAGGAAAATCAGAGGAGAGAGAAGAAAGGGAGAACTGGAAGGTTATTAGCAGTCAATGACGGGTGCCCCCCCATCTCATTTAATTTGGGGTGACCAACTGACCAGTTGGGCTTTGGAAAGTCTTAATGTGGTTGAGGTGAGTCACCGACTAATACAGAGTGTTGCACATCCATTGTTGCTGGGAATGTGCTGAGGTCCAAATACCAACAAGGAAGCCAGCTCTGCTCTCAAGCTCCTATATCTGCCCCATTACACCAATTCACCAACTCTCCCTAGGTGGCAAACTGGGCTGGTCATTTTAGTTCCCGGGATGTAAAGTATGCCCAGGATTCTCCACCACTGCTGCAACCCTCCTTCCCATGCTTCAAAGGAAAATATTTGGTCTTGGGGCAGGAAAAGGGTAAGATGGCCGGGTCCCATTATCAAGCACGCATGACCTTTGTATCCTGTGGACTGCCCTGAGACCTGCGGGTATAGGGGGGTATATAAATTTAATAAATAATAATGATGACTTTCTTCATGCTATCCAATTTGATACTATTCATGCATGTTTGAAGGATTCAAATGCACACAGCCAGCCAATCACACATTTTGGAAACACCCCTGATTTCTATTAGGAATGTGGGAAGGGGGGAATAGTTGTAACAGTCTTCAGTCCTGACCTCCGGCTCTACCCTTTCCTTCCACAGATTTCCAGAACCAAAGTATGCCAAAGGGAACTACTGTGGCAAGATTAAGTCTGAACTCGTCGCTGAAGCCTGCAGTATTGAACTTAGATGGATTTGCCAGAAAGACTCTCTTTTACTGTAATATGATAGCTTAATACAGATAATATTTATGTGGGGTTTTGTTATTTGCCAGGAGTGCACAATTTTTAAAGATACCGAATACCGAGAAGATTGTGGAAGGCATTTCTCTATTTTCAGCAAAATACCTCTTGGTAAAATTCTGAAATTTTACCCAAATCATCAGTTGCTTTCATCAAATTAGGAATACTAGATTGAGTCTTCGAAATAAGCAGAAGGATACCATCTGCAAATAAAACCAAAGAAAGAGCCCAGAACAAAGGCCAGATAATACCGTATTTTTCGCCCTATAGGACGCACTTTTTCCCCTCCAAAAATGAAGGGGAAATGTGTGTGCGTCCTATGGGGCGAATGCAGGCTTTCGCTGAAGCCTGGAGAGCGAGAGCGGTAGGTGCGCACCGACCCCTCTCGCTCTCCAGGCTTCGTGGACCTCTCCGCAAGCAGCGGGAACGCTCCCGCTGCTTGCGGAGAGTTGCCTGCATGCCGAAGCCTGCGTGTGCTGAGATCAGCGCGTCCAGGCTTCGCGGACCTCTCCGCAAGCAGCGGGAACGCTCCCGCTGCTTGGGGAGAGTTGCCTGCATGCCGAAGCCTGCGCGCGCTGAGATCAGCGCGTCCAGGCTTCGCAGACCTCTCCGCAAGCAGCGGGAACGCTCCCGCTGCTTGGGGAGAGTTGCCGGCATCCCGAAGCCTGCGCGCGCTGAGATCAGCGCGTCCAGGCTTCGCGGACCTCTCTGCAAGCAGCGGGAACGCTCCCGCTGCTTGGGGAGAGTTGCCTGCATGCCGAAGCCTGCGCGCGCTGAGATCAGCGCGTCCAGGCTTCGCGGACCTCTCCGCAAGCAGCGGGAACGCTCCCGCTGCTTGGGGAGAGTTGCCAGCATCCCGAAGCCTGCGCGCGCTGAGATCAGCGCGTCCAGGCTTCGTGGACCTCTCCGCAAGCAGCGGGAGCGCTCCCGCTGCTTGGGGAGAGTTGCTGGCATCCCGAAGCCTGCGCGCGCTGAGATCAGCACGTCCAGGCTTCGCGGACCTCTCCCCAAGCAGCGGGAGCCAGCGCTGGGCTCCCACGGCTTGCAGAGAGCTGCCTGTTTGGGGGCTGGGGTCGGGGGAAGCTCGGGCCGCCCCAGCCCCGCGCCTGGGGGGAAAATAATTTTTCCCCTTTATTTCCCCCCAAAAAAACTAGGTGCGCCTTATGGGACGGTGCGTCCTATAGGGCGAAAAATACGGTAATTATGTGAAATTTTGTTATTTGCCAGGAACACAAAAGTTTAAAAGATACTGAATACCAAGAAGATTCTGTTTTCAGCAAAATACCTCTAGGTGAAATACAGAGATAACAAGGGAATTTGAAGTAGATATATTTTGGCTACTGAAAGATTGGTTTGAAGTGAAAGTTGAGGATCAACTGTAGAATTTGACAGCACAAAACCTGGCCAATAATTACAGTACAAACAGAACAGCACCGTCCCTTCATTCAAAGCAGTCAGTTCCCCAAAACCTGTTGAAAGCAAATTTCTCGTCCCTCTCCAGACTAACAAGCTTTCAAACTACTGAATTATCGGACTGCTTGGACAAAGTCATTGATTACTGGGTATATAAAACCTCCCATGATATATTATTTCTTTTAATGAGATGTAGCCATGACGACTAGAGCAAAATGAGAGGCTGCTTCTTCAAGTCCAACAGCATCACTAATCGGTTGGGCCGCAGAAAATGGTGGTGGAGGACACTAATACTAGTTTACTGAAATTTACTGGCTCAAGTACAAGTTCTGAAGCCGATCCAAAAGGACTTGGCAGAGCTTAAAAATGATGTGAAGCAGATGCAGGATAGAATGATTCATTATGGAGATGGTTTGAATGGTCATGAGACCATCGTGCAAGCTAGGCCACTATGCAGCCCTACTTTGTGGAACTCCTTCCCCATCCTGGAACCATTCTATAGCTTATGGTGAATGCTGAAGAGGCACACTTTACACTGAACATTTGAGATGAGGTTGTTAAAAGATGTTGTATGGAAAGATGCAGATATTGCCATTGGGCCTCATGTGACAGGTGATATTTTTTCCTCTTAGAACATCATACGTGTAACGTTCATATTCTTCATCTATCAAGGTCAATACACCTGCTTCCATCCAGTTTTTCCATCTTACCATCTTCTATTCAAATTTTTAGAGTAGGATATCCCCACAGAGTAAGTTTTGCATGGGAAAATGGATCAAAATTGCTTTTATTAGCTACAACAATCCAGTTTTCTAACTGAATTATTTCAAGAGTCATCTGAAATTTCAAATATTTCTGAAATATTTTTGATTCTAATGCTGTCCAACCAACCAAAAGTGCTATAGAAGTATATTCTAAGGTTGCCCATGTCAGGAAGTTAAGATCATCAGGAGGTCTCCAATATTTCCAAATCCACCTTCTTTCATTTGTTATTGTATTTTCTGCATAGATATCCTCAGTGCTTTTGAACTCCAAAGACATTTCCTAAACAGGGACTTTATCTTTTGAAAATATGACCCAGGTATAAAAGCTGGAAGTCTTCTCAGGACATAAAGAAATCTGGGAGTAATGTTCATTTTGAGAGCATGCACCTTTCCCCCAAGAGTAAGGTTTAATGGTTCCCGCCTGGCAATATCTAGTGAAGACTCTTTTATTATTTCATTTATGTTTACTGTTACTAACTGAGTTATATCTCTTGGTATTAACATACCTAGGTATTGAATAGATTTGGTACAAATCCGGAATTGGTATTGTTTAAATGATGAGTAATTAGAATTTCACCTATTGGCATCCATTCCAATTTGGACCAATTAATTAATTGAGTATCCTGATATTTTACCCAAATCATCCATTGCTTTCGTCAAATTAGGAATACTAGAATGAGGCTTTGAAATAAGCATATTCAACTCCTTCATGAATCTCACAATGCTATCTAATGCCAGGAGTTCTAAACACATATTAAAGAGCAAAGGTGGAAGTGGACATCCTTGTCTGGTTCCTCCTGGCCCTCTGTTCATCCTTAATGGCCCTAGCTTGAACAGGTCGTTTCCCAAAGGCTAACTCAGGAATTCCTCTACAGTTTATATTTCCCCCTTCACATCCCAAATATTGGGGTACACTACTTAAACCATTTCCCAACTTCGCAAGAGTCTAGCCCTGCAAATTCTGTATCGGTCAGAGAAAATAAGAGACTACAGCCAAGCAATGAAAAAGAAAACCAGCAGCCAATAGGCTTGATCTTTATTTGTTGCAACAAAGGTTCCAACCTTTAAGGCAAGCAAAAAAGAAAGAGCCCTGAACAAAAGTTACATGGGTTTTTTAAAGTTCTCAAATTTTCCCATAACACATTTCACACAGTGTCATCAAAACATCGCACACACCATAGGAGTGATGTCTTTTTTCTTAATGTTTATCTTTATCTTTTATTTTATTAATGAGTTTCAATTTTATACCTGTCAATAATTTTACAATCATTTGAACATTTCAAAACTTGACTTCCTTCCCCTTCCTTCAGCAGTTCCTTAATTTTTTTATATATATTTTCTTCATATCCAAATTAACTTAATTTACACATATATTCATCTACTTTTAATATACCATATACTCTTATAAAAATGCAGGTTATTACAAGAATCCTACCAATGTTCTTATCTGTTTACAGTTTGGTTGTAAATATTCAATGGACCATTTCCATTCTTTTATTTTTTTAAAAAAAGTTTGTTATCTTGATTCCTTATTCTTCCAGTAAGTTTTGCCATTTCTGCATATTCCGTAAGTTTTTGTATCCATTCTTCTTTTGCTGGCATTTCTTATTCTTTCCATTTTGGGGCAAGTAACATTCTTGCCGCTGTAGTCGCATACATGAATAAATTTCTATACAGATTTGGTAGTTCTGTTCCTATAATTGACAAAAGGAAAGCTTCTGGGGTTTTTTCCCCACCAACGTACCACAGGAGTGAAGTCAGACAGAAATCTGAGATCCAGACATGCCCTTCTCACTCATACATATTCCTTTGTCGTGAAAATACGACTTAGCACCTTTATTTGTTCAGGCCAGGTTGCATTCCATTCTGGAGATGGGTTTTTCACGTGGGGTTTTGTGATTCTGATAACACCTTCCTCACCCTACCTGCCCTCCTTATCTTGACTGGTTATATCTGGTCTGACACCTGGGAGGTGTATCTGGTATATGTGGTGGCACATTAATAATAATAATAATAACAACAACAACAACAACAACAACAACAACAACAACAACCCTTGTGCAGTGAAATTAAACAAGCCCCCCTCCCCCCATCCACTCAGTCTTGTTCGAACTCTTTGTGCTTGTCAGAAGTCATTTGCACCACATCTGAAGGATAATGGCAGACTGCGGACTGGCCGCATCGTGGTTCCTGTCCCCTCCCCCTCCCTGAGAAGAGTAAAGAACCATTGAAATGAGGAAGATAAGTGAAACGACTGATTTTTAGTGATTATCTGAAGTTTCCCCATAGGATAGCATTGTGGGTGATATTGCTAATTGAAGATTTCCCTTTAAGGCACCAGCTGAACCTCCCGGGGAAAGCATTCTACAAATGGGGAGCCACTGCCTTCCGATGTCTTCTAGAAGTCAGATAGTTATTTATTTCCTTGACATCTGATGGGAGGGCAGGCACCACTACTGAAGAAGGCCTTCTGCCTGGTTCCCTGTAACCTCACTTTGCGCAGGGAGGGAGCTGCCAGAAGGCCCTTGGAGCTGGACCTCCACCCCCTAAACAATGGGGGCAGAGATACTCCTTCAGGAATACTGGGCCGAGGCTGTTTAGGGCTTTAAAGGTCAGCACCAACACTTTGAAGACAAATGTAGGTCTTTCAGGACTAGTGTTATATGGTGTCAGTGGCCACTCCCAGTCACCAGTCTAGCTGCTGCATTATGGATTAATTGTAGTTTCTGGGTCACCTTCAAAGGTAGCCCCACATAGAGCGCATTGCAGTAGTCCAAGCAGGAGATATTACAGGGGTCAGCAAACTTTTTCAGCAGGGGTCCAGTGCACTGTCCCTCAGACCTTGTGGGGGCCTGGACTTTATTTTGGAGGCGGGGGGGGGTGAACGAATTCCTTTGCCCCACAAATAACCCAGAGGTGCATTTTAAATAAAAGCACACACTCTACTCCTGTAAAAACATGCTGATTTCCAGACTGTCTGCGTCCGATCTGCATGACTTAGAATCCTGTGCTGTTTCTCATTTACCAACTGGTTTGCTGCAGATCCAGCGTTCGTCGTTTCCACTGGTGCCGCTAGCAACACCCTGATGGTTCAAGTAAGCACCAGTTCCTCCTCCCCGGATTTCAAACCTAAAAAGCAACAGAATGTAGAAACGGTATCCCTAAGAACAAGTATAAGACCATGCAACTGAAAAGAGACCCCCCAAGGTATGTACCTGAAAAGAGACCCCCCCCCAATGTATGTACAGGAAGCCCTGGAAGCTAATTTTCACCTGAAGAAAACTGCAGAAGGCAGTTTATATTAATTTAATACATTTCCATTTTAGACTATGTGATCTTGGCTCAGGGCCTCAGCAAATGGTATAAAAACCTCTGACTTCAGAAGAAGAGTGGAAATATCGACACACACTCAGGCTGGATGACTCAATGACACCCCTATGAAGGCTTCACCCAGGGCAAAATCCTGGCCCCCTGCCCCTAGGCCCCCACCACTGTAGCTATGTCTCAGTCCTCCCTCCTGAATAAATTCAAAAGTGTGTGTGTGTGTGTGTGTGTGTGTGTGTTTGTGTGTGTTTGTGTGTGTTTGTGTGTGTTTGTGTGTGTTTGTGTGTGTGTGTGTGGAGGGAGGGGGGGGAGAGAAAGTTTTTCAAAAGCAAAACATTCTGCATAGCCCAGACATTTAAATGGCTGGTTCTGCCAAATTTCTAGTTTCTGGACTTCGACATTTATTTCTTGACACACAATGGGGGGGGAGGGGAGATCTTACGATTTATTGAAAATGGTGCCATTGATCCATTTCCAAGGTCCCTGGTCATCCATCCTTTGGAGACCAATCCAGTGGTCAGCAGGACCTTTGTACCGTCTCAAGAAGATCTTAATAAAGAAAAGAAGTGTCAATACATTTTCAACCCTCATCCAAGTGGAGAATCAACTCCATTTAAGGCTTCAGACTCTGCTCTGTATCTTTCCACTCACCATCTCCTCTTGGGAGTCAATCACAACCAAAGAGGCATCGAAAGAGGCACAGTAATTCTGGCTATAAGTCCAGTTTCTGTCACTGTCCGAAAAATAGTAACATTTCCTTTGGTAGCCAATCCAGCCGTCCGGACAGCATTCAGTTGGAGTGGAAGGAGAAGGTAGGGCGGTTGGCAATACTGCGCTTGTCCCTAGAAAGGTATCAGAAAGTGAGACAAATCACTATCCATAGCTTATAAATAGTCCTACCCAAAATAAAGGTCAGGCAATGTACTCCACTCATCAACATTATATCTGTGTGCTGCCTTTCCACAAAAGGAATCCTGCTCAACGCAGCTTGCAACAAAGTAAATGGGAACACATCTCAAGCATCATAAAAAGCAATCACATAAAAATACAGTATAACAACATAATTGCAAATACACCACACACACAAAACTGTGTGCAGGAGGTCTCCGGTCAACCCCCATCATCTGCAGGCGGGGCTGGATAAGGGTGGGGAAATGAGGGTAGGAGGGAGGGCAGACACCCCAGTGCCCATCTCTGCCCACAAACTCAGGAGCTTGCAGGACATAGAGCAGCTTCTCTTGTGGCTCAACCATAGATAGTCGACCTCAATTGACTATCCGTGAAATACACAGCCAGGGCCTAGTTGACTCTCCCTGAGATAGGCTTTTGATTAGAATTGTATCGTACAATTTAAATCACTTGAAATTGTGTGCGTATTGTGTGTGTATATTGTGTGTGCATATTGGTCTGTTATTACAGTACATGAAGTCTACCTTGCCTGAATGTGGGCCCCCATCCACAACTGCTTCCAGGTTACCTCAGCTGAACACCAATAAAGCTATTCTAGCTGCTGAGGAGAGGAGATCTGGGAGAGCAGGTGGCCTGTTGATAACCTGGCAGACGTTACAGCAAAATGGCTCTTCACTTACCTGATAAAGCAGTTCTGCTGATGATGATGATGGAAATGATCAGAATGACACTAAGCACCAAGCTCGCAATTATTACAGTAAAAGCGAGTTTCTTTTTTTCATTATTGTAGAACCCTGCAGAGGGAAATAAAGTGTTAATGTGTCCTTGGTTTCAACAAGATGCCAGACAAGTCCTTCTAGAAACTCCAAATATCTGGGGGGCTCCAAGTCTACCAAGGCTTGGGTCGTCCACCCACATTGAAGGTGTGAGTTCAAGCTTGCATCACACCAAGATGTCATACCACTCAACAGTCCTGATTTATGTGGGACATCCGGGAATTACAGAAGCCAATTCTGGCTTCTGATTGTATCCCAGAATGTCCCATTTTTTTGGTCCTGTGCTCCGGTGCAAGTCAGCTGGAGACCAAAAAAGAAACTTCCCGATTTTGGTCAACGGGATGTTAGAAGGATATGAGATGAACCAAATTCACCTGTGGCATCATGAAGCTTGGTGCCTCCCACCAGAAAATCAGCCAACTTGTAGGCCTCTGCACATGGCTGGTGAGTCACTAGTTATTTATTTTATTAAAAAGCATTTACTTGCAACCATCTCTTAAACTATCAAAGTGCTTCAGAATAATAGTTATACAATAAAACAAATATCACCAGTAGAAATCGTAAATATATATAAATATATCATTAATATAAAGGGATGTGGGTAGTGCTGTGGTCTAAACCACAGAGCCTAAGACTTGCCGATTAGAAGGTCAGCGGTTCGAATCCCCGCGACGCAGTGTGCTCCCGTTGTTCGGGCCCAGCTCCTGCCCACCTAGCAGTTCGAAAGCACGTCAAAGTGCAAGTAGATAAATAGGTACCACTCCAGCGGGAAGGTAAACAGTGTTTCCATACGTTGCTCTAGTTCACCAGAAGCGGCTTAGTCATGCTGACCACATGACCCGGAAGCTGACTGCGGACAAAAGCCGGCTCCCTCGGCCTATAGAGGGAGATGAGCGCCACAACCCGAGTTGTCCACAACTGGACCTAATGGTCAGGGGTACCTTTATGTTTTTATCATTAATATAGCTGGGAGATCAACAACATTTTAAACAGCTGTATAGCCTTGTTGGCATAAGAAAAGGTCTTCAAGTCAAGCTTAGAAGTCAGAAGTGAAGATGCCGGATGTATCTCTGCTGGAAGAGCCTTTCACAGCTTCAACTGGTGGTGCTAAATGCCCAACTTCTAGCTGAGGTCACTTGGGCTTCTGAGACAAATAGTGGCAGCCTTGTTAAATCCACTGGCAGCAGTCTGCCAGAAGGGAATCTCTATCCTACTTAGAAGCAGAATAGGATATTTTGTTCATGCATCTCAAGCTAGTGCAGCAACCTCAAGCGAATACAGTAGAACCTCGACTTACCAGCCCCCCTACTGGCGAACAATGTGCGTCTGCACATGCGCAGAACGGTGCTGCTGCCAAATGCGCACATGCAGAATGGCGCTTCTACCAGCAACCCGGATCTACACATGAACGGACCTCCGGAAGGGATTCCGTATGTGAGTAGAGGTTCCACTGTATCCTGAAACCATTTTAACCTTGATTGTAAAACAAACCATTAAGGGCATACAGTTTAAGCCCTTCACATTTCTGTATAACATAGGGTTGGTTCCAACACATCATGGGTAGATCCATTAATGTGCAAACCAAAATGCATTAAAATGAATTGTTCAACCAAAGAACATTTCCCTGTGCTAGAAGAAGCTTTATTCATTCAATGCAGGATAGTGAATTTTCAAGCTTGCCTCAACCAAATAAATCAAAATAGCAGTTTGTAGTACACAGGCTAGGATTAGCAGATGGACTAAGGTTGCTATATTAATTATATACGGAGGATGGCATAACTGACAGTTAAAGAAAATCAGGTCCAAATGTAAGGACTAGGCAGTAAAGTGGTTCATCAGCAATATGCAGCTCTGAGTGTCTGCTTTCAGCATATATATATATATTTCAGTTAATGTCAACACATGTTTGGCCAGATTGGGTTCCTGAAAGAAAGAGGAACCTAAAAGATGTTTTGAATGATACGTTCCGGAAAGTGTTGCATAACGCAAAGTTATGAAGTCAGTCAAGCAGGGGTTCTCCAACTGCTTTTAATTGCCTGAATAAACTAGAGTCTCCATGAATTTGATTAGCTAGCCTACATCTTGTAGCTCTCAGCCCAGCAGCAAATCGGTAACTTTTCTGACAGTAGTCAAAATAAAAAAATTCCTTCCAGTAGCACCTTAAAGACCAACTAAGTTAGTTCTTGGTATGAGCTTTCGTGTGCATGCATACCAAGAACTAACTTAGTTGGTCTTTAAGGTGCTACTGGAAGGAATTTTTTTATTTTGGCTATGGCAGACCAACACGGCTACCTATCTGTAACTTTTCTGACAGTAGGTGGAGACAAACTCATGCCTCTCTCATCAGACTCACTTACCATATAGAGAATGGCTCAGTTTCGGAGAGAATCTTGCTTCATGTTGTTGTTGTTGTTGTTGTTGTTGTTGTTGTTGTTGTTGTTGTTGTTGCTTAACTCTTGCTTGTTTGGTATTTCCATTACTTTTCCTGTTCTCAGCTGCATCTTGAATCATAGGGAGCCTTTGCTCCGTCTTTTCAGTTTCAGAGGATTCCATCTTTTCTTTCTCCCAGGAAGATCCACAGATCTCACAGTAAATGCTACTCAGCTCTAGTTACACAGAGTTTTGCAGTTTCTTGAGATATGTTCAAAGCAGATCACTGGATTACAGATTCACGCACAGTTTGGGCTACGTAACGTGGTGAGAAAACACCCTTTTAAAATACTACTTAATCGTCTGCTTTAATCGGATACTTTGTCCAGCCAAGCTGTACTTAATATGTATTCTACTTCCCTGTGTTATCTTCCTGACTCCTTTTATTACCAGTGCCTCTTCAGAGTCTGAAGTACCAATTCTGTGCTTTTGCCACACAAAAATTCACCACAACATCAATTTTCACCATGACATCAATGTCCCAAGATTCCTCTGTGGAGAGAAAATTACAGAGGAGAAATGAATTATTTCTTCTTGAAATCTATAAAAGGTGCACTTTTGCTTCCATACTAGTATAGTCCCCACCCACCCCCCAAAAAAGCCCTAATGGTGGTCTTTCATATACTAATTTATAGAGCTGGAAAATTCACAAATGAAATATTGCTTCTTTTTAGTCTAAATGATTACAGTAATGTTTCTACATCTACTTGATGAAACAAAGGCGTTGAGTAAATGTGAAAGGGAGGAGCCCTTGAGATAGTTGAAGATGGCTATTGTATTATATTTCCCCCCAGTCTCCTCCTACCCAGCTCCTCCTCCTCATAAAGCTTGGTTTCCAAGCCTTATTAGAAAATGACGCTCTCCTCTTGACACGTTCCAGCTTGTCAATATCCTCCTTAAATTGTGGTGCCCAGAAATGGACACAGTACTCCAGGTGAGGTCTGACCCACTTTAATTAAGGTGTCCAGCACAAAAACCTCTGAACAGATCTGCCTAAAATTTGGCAGGCTTAATCCAGAGAGGCTCATATTTCTGCAAATTTCTTCCACTTTTCTCTGAAGCTGTTTCTTCCACTGTTTCTCTGAACAACAGTATAGCCATTTTTAGATTCCCTATTATATTGAATGAGGGGTGAGAACTTTGGGTTGTGTTCCTAGCAATGCTAGGAGAATGTTCTGTCAGCACAAAGATTTCTCCTTGCCCAAGGGAACGTTCTCCCCCTCTCCTCCCTCATGACGCCCAAATGTATTCTAGCAGTTCCCCCAATCAAACAAAGCCAGCCTTATATTTAGTGCTTTTTTTCTGGGGCCACGCGGGAGTACCCGTACCCCTAAACATTTTGTGAATCTAAATGTTCCTGGGAAAGAGGGGAAGGAAGCGGTGGTGGTGGCAGGGAGCAGGCTAGCAGGCAGGACCCATTACTCACATCCTAGGAGCCTACACGACACAAAACACTGTTGTGCTGTGTGTACGTTTTATTTTATTTGTTTTTTATCTTGTTTTGGAAATGAACATCCAAGGTTTTTTTCTTTAAATTTTTTTTGGGGGGGGCAAGAGAGTGGGCCCCTAAGCTAGAGCTTGTTTAGCTTATACATAAATCTGGCACTGCCTGCGCCCGTTCCCCAGCCTGATCTTTCATTGATTCCTGAGGTCCCGGGTTTCCTCGTGCTTCCAGACCCGAAACATTTCTCACTCCTTTCCTCCTTCCCTTTCTCGGCTGCTTTCATGGCTTTCCTCCAATCTCTCTCTCTATCTACCCCGCCCCAATGAATGTTTGGAAAATAAAATAAATTGTCCAGTAGCAGATTAGAGGGCAACTAAGTATGTTTTGGGTATAAGCCAGGGGTCAGCAAACTTTTTCAGCTGGGGGCCAGTCCACTGTTCCTCAGACCTTGTGGAGGGCCGGACTATATTTGGGGTTTTTTTGGGGGGGACACGAATTCCTATGCACATTGCATGGGGGGGGGGCAAGTAGTCCTCCTCCCATTTTAAATAAAAGGACACAGCATGCCAGGCAGGCCCCACAAAGATCCCACAGATGCAGTTTTTTATAAAGGACACAGCTTACCTGTGCGTTGCGAGCGGCAGGGGCTGGTGGTGGTGGAGAGACGATGAGCAGTGCGTGAAAGAAGGGCTCTGGAGAAGGGCTGCTTAAAATGGCGGCCTCTCGAGCGCTCACACTGATCCAACAAAGCCCAGCCCCCTTCCTCCTCTAGGCAGGGCGGGGAGAAGCCAGTAGAACGGAAGAGGCACCGCCGCGGTGTGTGTAAGACGGGGGATGGCGCGCGGGGGGGGGGGGAATGGCACAACCCGAACAATGAGAATCCCCATGCCCTTTCCCAAACTGTCCGTGGGCCGGATCCAGAAGGCAATTGGGCCTGATCCAGACCGCGGGCCTTAGTTTGCCGACCCATAGTATAAGCTTTCGTGTGCATGCAAAGGTAATACCCAGAACTTACTTAGTTGGTCTCTAAGGTGCTACTGGACATTGGAGAGAAACTTTAATGTCTTTCCTATTGCCTTAGATCCCTTGTGGGAAGGGGCAAAACTCCCTGCTTTGACTCTTGTTTGCTTCCCCCTCTCCTTCTCTTATTTCACTAAATTTTCTCTCTTTTCTTCCCGCCCCAACTGAAAGTATCTGTCAATGTCTGGTTGTTGGCCCCCTCTGTTTTACCATTTATTTTTGGATGCAGGAAGGCTTTTGGAAGCACCTAAATTCCCCTTCTTTTCTGGTGAAGCGGCGCTCACCACAAATTTTGGTGTGAGGATTTGCGTTTTCCCCTCTGGGTTTCCTTTTTTCAAAAAACAAAACAAAAAAAGGCACCTTTGGGAATAAGTCTTCTCTGTCCTGTCCAGTTACTGTATATATTTTTCCTGATTTCAACTATGAATTGGTGATTTTCTTGAGTCAAAATGAGAGAACCCCTAAATATTTTTTAAGAAAAAGAGCACTGCTTATATTATTTTAGAAATGTTATTTCTTCAGTCCAAAATCCTCTCCCCCTTCCTCCTCTCCTCCTCCTTTCCCCAATCTCCCTCCCCATCCCACCCTCTCCCTTTCCTCCCCTCCCCATATCCTCCCCCCCCCCAATACATTGTAGAATTCTTGTTTGTACCTTCTGGCAGAATCAATCTAGCAGCTAAATTCTGCAGTGCTGGAACAAGGATCTGATGCTGACCAAACCCACAAGAAGCAAAACAAGTTTTCAATGTGATTGGTTCCTGCTATTTATATTCTCCCCCCCTCCTCCTCTTCCTCCCCCTCCCCCGCTTCCTCATTCTCACCTGCGAAGTCCTTGTCAGCCGTTTCTGGCTCCAGCCCCACCCGGCCTTTAATGTCACCCCCAGCCTGGATCTAGAGATGGTTTCAATTGCCCAGGGTCTTCTCCCCTGCTTCAGAGAACAGTGCAACCCTATTAGAGGCTGAAGGCATTCTTGGGCACAAAGTGTAAAAGAATTTTTAGCATGATTTAAAATCAACCCCACAAACAAAGGGCAGGACCTCCCAGCGCAGAATGTGGTCACCCTCAATGTGCAGAAGGAGAAACAGCTGCTGAAGTCCTGGTGCCAGTTGGCAACTTGGTGATTGCTGAGTTTGAGACTAACAAGTGACAAGCTTACTTTAGAGAAAATGCTATGGAAAGGAAGGTATTACAGCAAAAGAAAATGCCTGGAGAAAGTTGAAAAGAGCATTGGTTTCTATAATTTTATGGAGCCTCTTGAGGGAGGAATGCAAAAGACAATGAGATTTTAAAAATAATGAAATATCTTAATGTTCAGGAGGCAGCCATTGCAAGGTATCACAAAAGTTGGGTAGCGTTTAGGTGCCCAAAATCTGCTCCATAAAAAATGGCTAAGTAGCACCATGCAGTAAGAATTCACTATTTCTTTGAAAGTGACAAACCTAACCTACTCATGCATAGGAGAGTCCATGTTTCTGCCTCCCCAAACCTGGGAATCATAAGATTCACACACCACTTTATTGTAAAACCCTCACAGCAGTATACAAAAAGATAAAACAATAAAATCAGAAAAAATACAACCCTAATTTAAAACATACAAAAGTAAAAATATTAAAGCAGATTATAATTATGTACCTCAACTTTCTAAGCAACCATGTTTCTTTTGTTGTTGTTTAGTCGTTTAGTTGTTTCCGACTCTTCGTGACCCCCTGGACCAGAGCCCGCCAGGCACTCCTGTCTTCCACGGCCTCCTGCAGTTTGGTCAAACTCATGCTGGTAGCTTCGAGAACACTGTCCAACCATCTCATCCTCTGTTGTCCCCTTCTCCTTGTGCCCTCAATCTTTCCCAGCATCAGGGTCTTTTCCAGGGAGTCTTCTCTTCTCACGAGGTGGCCAAAGTACTGGAGCCTCAGCTTCAGGATCTGTCCTTCCAGTGAGCACTCAGGGCTGATTTCCTTAAGAATGGATACGTTTGATCTTCTTGCAGTCCATGGGACTCTCAAGAGTCTCCTCCAGCACCAGAATTCAAAAGCATCAATTCTTCGGCAAACAGCCTTCTTTATGGTCCAGCTCTCACTAATGTTTTTAGGTGGTGCCAAATTTCCTTATACAGACCTATTGTCAGCAGCTGCTACTAAATTTCCTGGATTTCTGGAATTGGAACTGATTTCCTGCAATTGTTATTGTAGTAGTTGATTTGAAGCCAACCAGGAAGCCAGAACTAGAAGGGGTGGGATTTCCTTCCCTGCCTCTCCTTTTCCCTGAATTCCCCCCTGGTTCAGCATGAGGACTGTTTATTAAACTGAGCTTCATAAGAATATAAGAACATCAGAATAGCCCAGCTGGATCAGGCCATGGGCATAAGGAGTCCAGCACCCTGTTTTCACAGGGGCCACCTAGATGCCTGTGGGAAACTCACAAGAGCGCTCTGCCCGTCTGCAGTTTCCAGAAACTCAGAAGGAGGCAAAGCACAGACCTCATGGCTAGTAGCTCTCCATAGCCCTCTCCCCCACGAACCTTTCTTCACCCTCCTTGAAGCCATCCAAGTGGGGGATCATCACTGTCTCCTGGGCGAAAGAGCGCCATACTTTAACTATGCGCTGGATGAAGACGAACTTTGTTTTCTCCTGAATTTTCCAATGTTCAGCTTCCATGGATGTTTCCGTGGAGTTCTGGTGTTATGAGAGAGGGAGAAAAACTTCTCTCTGCCACCCAGGCAAGGAAATAAATCTCTCAAAGCGGGGGCAGGGCATGTAGCAATCACTTAAGAGCAAGAGGGAGATCACTTACAAAACTACAGCCTGGGACACCCCCATGATCCACTGGTAGATTGCGATCGACCTCTTGGACATCCCTGGTTGAGACCACAGAGCCATCCGCTCCCCTAGTTGTGGGGCATGCCTGACTAGCCCTCAGGGCTCTCCATAGGCAATCTCCCCCCTCCAACCAACTTCACTGTTGCTCCACACCTTCCTCAAGTCTGGCTGGAATGTTGGAGTGCAGCTGTCAGTCAGTGCGGAAAATACTGAGGTAGACAGATCAATTTGCCTGGCTCTGTAGAAGTCAGCTTCCTGTTTCCCTGTGTATTGCAATCAGGAGGACAGAAAAGCAGCTGCCTTTGGGACTCCCTTGCAAACTTCCCAAGAGGCACCAGGCAGCCACTGACAAATGTTGCCCTTTGTAAGCCACCTCACGCTGCTCCTTTCAACTTCCATTTTTGAAAGTTTCAAGGGACTGTGGGGTCTGCTTCAGAGAACAGCCGTGGGGAGGAGAGGTGGCTTCCATGGGATACGAGATGGTGAATGCAAGACCTTTTCTTAAAACAGACAGAGGCAAGGAAGACACCATTTTGATTTGCTTATGCAGTGCTTGCTATGGCTAGTATGTGCCATAGGCAAGAGCGAAAGAGAGAGAAGGGGGGGGGAGGGAAGTCAGGGCTTTTTTTACTCTATGAAAAAAAGAGAGAGAAGTGCTTTTTCTGTGGTTGCTTTTTCTACAGGAAGTGGTTATGCAGATGTTTCCTATGTAATCGATATGAAGAGCCTCGTGGTTAGCTAGAGTGGTTAGAATGACATGAAAAGAGTGGTGTTTATCTGCATGTGTAAAACTCTGTGGAGGCACAACAGAGGGTGCAACCCTCAATAACCCTTTTGTTTTGTTTGTCTTGTCTTGTTTGTCAGCTGTCATGATGCACCTTGAAATAAAATCTGAATCTATTTAAAATCTGAATCTATTTGAAAGCAGTGCTTTCTCATCATTGCTGGGACTGAGTGACTCCATTGTGCTCAAACCTCTTGAACCTCATGCTCTCCCCTCCTTGAGTGGTTCTTACCTCTCATCAGTTGATGGGCAAGATGGGAGGCTGCCTTGCCCCAGGAAGGCCATAATCAGGACTCCACTTTAAGCTAGGGTTACCAGACGTCCTCGTTTCCCGGGGATTTGGAACATGTCCCGGGGCAAATTCCATCCCCAGAATGTCCCCGGATTTCATCTGACGTCCCCGGGAAACACAGCAGCAGCAGTCTCAGCAGCCCGGAGCAGTTGGCTCTGGCTGGCTTCAGGAGCTGCTCGGAAGTCCCCATATGATGGTGGTGCAGGGACTCGAAGATGCAGCTTCCGGGCTGCCTCCACCTTCCCTGACCCCAGCAACTGAGCTGTGAAGGGACGCTTCATGCTGCCCTTTGGAGCAGCCTCCCAACTCCTACTTGTGTGCAAGCAGGAGCAGGGCAGGGATCTCTCAGCTGTGAAGGGAGGCTTCACGCTGCCTATCAGAGCTTGCGTGTAAGCAGGAGCGGGGCAGGGACCTCTCAGTTAGGCAACGGGAAGCCTCCCTTCCCAGCTGAGCGATCCGTGCCCCCTCCTGCTTGCACGCAAGTAGGAATGGGATTGGGGCTACTCCGACTCTTGTAGCAAGGATTCCATAGTTAATTAGAAGGCTTCTTGAGGGCATAATAAGTGCAGGGAGCTTTTTGGTTTTAAAGGAGAGCAGCACTCTCTGCCTCTGAGGTCTGCTGCTAATATGATCTGTATGCTTCAGGTCAATAGAGCTAGGGATTACCCTCAGAAGCTCCGCTAAGTGTCTCCTTATATCACTCTTATAATGCCAGTTTATCACCTTGCCTCTAAAGGGGCAAACCGTTAGGCAGATTTTGGTAGCTTGCAGCAGCAGTTTGTTGGGAGATGCAAAGTGTTGTTCCTTCTTAT